CACGGAGGAAAAAGCTCATTTGGACTATTTAATTTATGCAGTTGTAAGAAATAAAGGTGATAAATGTGAATGTTCTTGTTCGGTATTAAGTTTTTCATTATGTTCGGTTTCGGCTTCTGAGAGCTTTCATGTCTGCGTATCCCTAATTACAGTGTCCCCTTAAGATTAGTTGGGCCCCTAATGTCTTAATTTCTTTATATACTACATTTCTTTGTACACACTTCCTTTTCCCTTTGCACCAGAACTTGCTCTGTCGTACAAATTCTGCACTAAACTCTGTGCTCTTCCCAGCGTCGGCGGTCTCTCTGATGTCCGTCGGGCTGCTTAGAAATAAACTGACTCTTCTTTATAACGTCACATCGTCATGCTTCTGCTTTTCTTGAGCATCAACAGTAATCCAGTCATTGTCTGTTTGTTACACGACACTTCATGACATTACTGAACCCGTTTGTTATTTCTGCTGCAGAGATGTGAGGCTTCCTGGTAGAAAACAAAAGCTGAGTTCTGTTGTGGAGAACCATGTTCATGTTCTTGTGTCGGACCTTCTTCCTCTCACAGCATTCCCCGAGTGTCACTGCGGCGGCTGCACTGCTGCTGTCGAACATGAGCCGCTAACTGAGGAAGCAGCTCGCTGGTTTCACTGTAAACTGATCTCTTAACGGTCTCCCACAATTCCACAGAGGTCCCTTTTTATCGGACATCAATACGGCGCTGTGTTTAAGGTTGTCCCCCCGAGGGGAACCCGCCTGCACCGCAGCCACTCCTCAGCATGTAGTCTGACTGGGAACTTTTCACACAGGTGAAGCCGGATTTTAAGTCTTGGCTGGTTTATTTTTAAATCTTAAACAATTTTTTAAATGTAGACTACCACAAACATGACAAAAGAATTTACTGATGTTTAATATTTTAGTGTTCAGAATGCACAGCAGACGGTTCAGCCCAGACTCAGGACCGCACACTTTGCGTTTATACTGGCGTTCATGGGGATTTTGGATCTTTTGGATGAAATTTGCATCTATTTCAGGAACAGAAATCTGATTTAATCAGGTTCAAAATGATTGTTTTATATGTTTGACATATTGGACTTCTGCTCTGTGGAAATACTTAAAACAACAACAACTCAGGACTCAGTATTTAGCTCAACTCCGTCAGCTGCACGCTGGCTTATTAGCTGGAAAACACTGTAGGACCGCATCCTAAAGCCTTACCTAGTCCTAGTTTATATTTCATACCAATACCGTGAGAAATTACTATTTTATATTTTGCACGCGTGTTTTTTCTAAAACAGCACCGCACCAGGCGGCGGCTGCTGCATCACGCCGTAGCTTGATGTGCTTTCAAACGGTGGATCATGAGTATGAAGTTAACATAGGGCTCCAGACCTGTGGAATATCTGACCTGCTCCGACTGTAAAGACCCGCCTCTGTTGGTTGAGTTTGACACCTTGACCTTTTCTGCTGTCTTTTGTACACTTGTTGTGTTTCCTGAGGTCAGAAAGCACTTTGGTTAACTAGGTTTCTTTTTAAATGTGCTATATAAATAAATTTGTACTTGAAGTTATTGCAGTTCATCCTGAGCGGGACAAGAAGCACATTTCATCACAACACAGAGTGAACACATTATCGTGAAGAGAGGAAGCTGTTATTTTTAGTTCTTACATCAGCTTCTGGACTTTGTTGACATTTGGAGCTATTTTCAGTCATAAAAGGCTGTTACATAAGATTTGATGATATTGGAGAAAAGTCATTTGTTTGTTTGGGGCTTTTTATTTTCACTGATTTTCTTACACAGCATTTAGTGTGAAACCTACAGGACTAGACGGTCTGAGCTGCCTGACCGTGATCTGAACGTGTTTGTGATCGTGTTGTCGTCAGAACAGTCGGCCTGAAGCTTCACAGGTGACATTACAGAGCTCCACTGAGACAAGGAAGTCCTCCTCACAGGTTCCTGACGGCGCTCTCCTCCCGAACAACAGTTAACGGTTGTGTCATCCTAATTTATATTTACTGACGATGACGGGGGCAGATGGATGAGAAGACGAAATGTTTTTCCTCTAGAGTGTGAGTTTATCTTCAGGAGCTTTTACTGAGGAACAAACTGTGACGCTGAGAGAACAGGGGAGTTAGATAAATGATGTCCACCATCATCTTTCCGCTGCTGCTCTGGTGATGTAAATAGGCTGGGGAAGTGTCACCATAACAGCTGATTGGCTGGAGGACAGGAAACGTCTTTATCTGTGTCGATTGCTCTCGTATTTAAAGTAGTCTGACCCAAACTGCAGCATCTGGAAGATCATTTTTCACATTTTTCACAGGTCAGCTGTTAATTATTAGTAAAATTCAAACACATTTGAGGTGTAGTGCTACTCAGTTATTACTAAAATCTTAAGATGATTGAGATCATGATCATTTAACACGATTACTGGTTGACTCAGGAAACATAAATTATTCATATTCCCAAATAGTCCACAAAATTAGAAACGGTAATCAAATATTACCTTTTAAACTGCATCTTTAAAGCACAAGAGGATCACAGCAACACAGTGCTGACGTAATCGATTACGTAAATACGTCTGCTCTGTGCTGTTGAACTTTTATTTAATATAACCTTTGTTTCGGGAGGTCTCTTTACGGCAGGGTGTCTTTTACAAGTGAGTGCTGGTTAAAGTGACAGTTTACAGGCAGCGACGCACGTACAAAACACCAGAGACGTAACCCTGCACGACAAGAAAAATAAACGTGTTGTTGCCTTCACAGCTAATGCAAACAGTACTTTAAAACTAACTTAAAGATCACCTCCAGTGGTGTAACGTCTCACCTGGCTGCAGTGATGTACAGGTGTTCTCCAGGACGCGGTGACATCACTGTTTGGTGGGGTTATAGGTGAAACAACGGAGCTTTACTCTGTTAAAAGCTCTTTATTAGGTACACATGTGTTTTTAATAATCTGTTTATTGTTTTCTAATGCTTTTCTTCGCCTGCCTATGTAAAAGCTCTTTGAGTTGCACCACAGTGTAAACGCAGAGCTGCTCGATCACATTTAAAGGCCGGGAGCTGCAGGGATCGTCGTGAGGAGCTGCTGAAGTGGTGATCTGATGGTTTATGGGAAAACATCTGTGCTGGTCAGCTGCCACGGCGAGCCAAAGAAAGCCTCGGTTATTTTAGATCGCCGCTCTCTGTAAGCCCTCCTCCAAAAATAAAGTAGCATGTTGGATGTGTCCACTGGGCTGGAGGCCTTTTTATGATGTTGGCTTCACATAGACTGACTGTAGTGTTGCTGGAGGCACAAGCTCATAATATCAGACTATCTGTCAATGACGATTAATTATCCTTCAAAGGCTTCAAACAAATACAAAAGTCTTATGCAACTGTCTTAAAGTCCATATATTACATATTTTTCTACCTGGACCTTATTTTCCCATGTTTTTGAGACTAATTAGAAGATTTCTTTTGAAACTGGTCCAGCAGTCAGCAGCAGTAAAACAGGACTGCAACATCAAAGTCCGTCCACTAAAGTTCTTGTTTTTGCAGCTGACCGGCTCGGGTTGTTATTGCAAGGGTCTGACAGCATTGTGGAGAACAGTCTAGATAAATCGCTCTCATCAAAACCACCAGACTCCATTGATTTAAAAACTATAATTGAGCCTCTCTGGGCGACCGCTGCCTCGACTGGTTAGTTTGGGTTGTTGTGACTTTTTTGTGTTTTTAACCCTTTAAAAAACACTAACGCAAACAAACAAACAAATTCCCTGACTGAAAGAATTGTTAAAATGAGATTTTAAATAATATTGTGAACGAAGACCTCGGTCTGTCACCATGTGTTATTTTAAGTTAATTCTGGGTGAGGTTTGGTTCTCATCAGAATACACTGCAAACAATATCTCAAATCTTAATAGGATAAAAAAATCTGTCTTACTACAACAAATAATTATTTCAACATTTTTGACAAGTTTCTAGGAAATGTCTGAGACTACATATTGCGGGACACGTGGTTTATTTTGCTCCGCTGTTTGTAAGGCGTAACCTGAGTGTTGTTTATAAAGCCTGGTGACTCGGGCATCGAGCCCTGTAAGCTACTGTAGTTGTTGTTGTAGTTTCTGCTCTCCATGCCATGCAACGACGTAACCTGATGAATGTCACAACAGCTGAGACTGACCTTTACTGGCTCACCAACACTCAGGACACACTCTGTCTGCTCTGTAAGGACTGGGATGCATGATTTACGGTCTAAAAACAACGTACGGCCGCTGATATCTGGGATCAAAATGTCTAAAATCTCCAGGGATTCAATCTTTAACTGAGAACTAACAGAAAACTACTATATTTCAATACAGCAGAATTGGCAAAAATCTTAACATTAAATTAAAAATAAATATGCTTCTTTCTTACAGAATTAAATGTCTGTTCCCTCCTGTCTCTTGTCATGTCAGACCTCGTGTGAGACATATTATGTTATCTAAGAGCAGTGGTGCCCCTAAAACAAAGAATCCTTTACACACAAACCGTTTACTATTCAATAATCTATTGGTTTTTAATGTGTCCTGGTCCACTTTTTCTCCACAAATGAAATGGGCTCAGGTGTTCAAAAGGCACCTGAGGATTTAAAGAGACGTCTTTCTGAAAATGAATCTAAAGTACGGCCTTTTTGTTTCCCACAGAATGAAAGTATAATTGTTGTTTCTTATTTCACTGTTTTCATTTAACTTCATTCTCCAGTTTGTTTTAGAGTTTGATAGACCTGGGCGGGGCTGGCCATAAATAGACCTTGGCAGGAGTTAATAGACCTGGTTGTCCTAGGCTGGCCATAAATTTACCTTGGCGCAATAATTAATAGACCAAGTGAAGTCTCTATGTGAAAACACTGGAAACACAGCTGTCATTGAAGAATAACCTCCGATATGATCGTTATTTCTCTGTAATGTTTAGGTGCTTGAATGTCATTGAAAATCCCTCGACTTGTCACGTTTGACTGGAAGTGTGTCTTGTCCTCTGTTTTCTCAGATATCCAGGAATTTTACGAAGTGACCTTATTGGACAGTCAGAGATGGGTGGAGTCGCCCAAGGCGGCGGACCCCATGGCGCCCGTCAACCTGTGGGACTTCTCCAGCCTTCAAAGCGCAACGGTGACTTCGGACACTCTGCCCAGCCTTAGCACCAGCATCGAGGTAAGAACAGAGAACTTCATCAGTAACACAGCTGCTGGGCCTAGACCCGGTTCAGAGGTCATCAGGCCTAATGGCTCAGGGACTAACAGGACAGGAAGTGAGCTGCTTTAAAGTTTGCTTCTGTCTAAACTGGTTTGCGGTCTTCAGTGATGGGTTTCTCGGTAAAAGAACAGCCCTCTGTAAAAATAGAGAATATTAAAAATAGATCATACCTTTCAAAACATTACATGATGACTGAAGGTTGTTATCGCCACTCTGTCTGATGTGAACCGCTTCAGGCGAGCAGCAGGGACTGAGCGCTCAACACTCTTTCAAGTGTTTTATACTGAAGCGATAAACTTTTCATCTGAAGCCGTGTTCAGTATCATGAGCGTGACGGTGTGCTCGTCCATATGGAGTTTTAATGATATAAGACCATGAAAGGCCGACCTGCTGTGTCGTCTCTCTGCTTGTTTCTGTTTCTGGCTGATCATTATGTTGGTGCTTGATGCTGGCTGTGCATTTTTATGTTTCTTGGCATGGAGAGGATGTGTTGTACTGGCATAAAAACCATGTGACACGAATTGAATGTTTGTAGTCAAATAGGCAAAACAAACTGATCTCAACACAGTTGATGACAAGATTTACAGCACATTTGTTCCCAAACATCTAACAGAGACTCGAGGTGTTTTCAGAAGGCGAGCGGTTGCTGATGCCGCCTCCATTGTTTCGATAAACAAGCTGACCAATGAAGAGAAATAGTTTTGGAGCAACATCAAAGTTCGTTCGTCCTGTGTGGGCCAATAAACATCGTTTAGTTAGCAGAATCTTCTATTTTAAATAGTTTTAACTAGTTGAGAAGCATCATGAGGTTAGCATAAGCAGGTGGGGTCAACCTGAAACGACTGACAGAATCAGCAACTATTTTGAAAATTCATGTTTTATCAACATGTTCTTTTAGAGAACCCTGACATATTAGCTGCTCCTTCCCGAGAACCCTGACGTAGTAGCTGCTCCCTCCCGACATATAGTAGCTGCTCCCTCCCGACATATAGTAGCTGCTCCCTCCCGAGAACCCTGACGTAGTAGCTGCTCCCTCCCGACATATAGTAGCTGCTCCTTCCCGAGAACCCTGACACATTAGCTGCTCCCTCCCGAGAAGTCAAACTTCCAGTCAGTAGTTGAAGGATGGTGGTCGACAGCAGATTTGGCCAGCTGTAGTTAATTAACACTAAGTCACTAATGAGTGAAACTATTTGCTTGTGTGGTGAGTCAGCAGCTGTAACTTCTGAGTCAGAGAAGACGTTTAAACCCCTCAGGACTCCTCCAGCCTGCAACACATGCTTTTGGCTGGGAGTTTAATTTTCTGCAGTTAATTTCTTTGACTTAAATCTCAACCATGAAAACAGCGATGCCACGAGAGGAACAAATTAAATCGAACAAAGAGATGGGTGTTCAGCAGGAGAGAGTCGTACTGTTGTTTCTCTCTGATCCCGTGTTTTCAGAACTTTTTATGGGATCATCCAGAAAATGGAAAATGATCCCCCAAATGTTACTGTGTGTGTCCTGGTATGAATTAGATTTTTAAAGCGGAAGTTTGTGGTGGAAACAACAGTTAACAGCTGGATTTATTGTTCAAATTTAGGATAAACACCTTGAGATGCACCATCTTGTTTTTGAAGCGGTCCTAACATAACTAATAACAATTACAACAACAGAGGAGTGACTAAATAAATACAATTATCAATCTCAGTTATCACATGTGTTTTTGTTGTTGTTGCATGAGGCCTGCTGTTCTGGATTAAAATGTGTCATCACCCAGTCATACCTGCATTCATACAGCTGATCGGAAGTGTTGTCAGCGCTGCCTGTTCCTGCAGACTCTGAACGCACCACATAGAGAGACCTCACTGATTCCTTTCTTCACAGCAAAATGTATCGTACAACATACACATGTTGTTTGTTAGGTAACAAGATTAGGGTTGGGTATGGTTAAAATTTCATCGATTATGATTTGACTTATGGAGTCTCGTTTCTGACTCCACAGATCTCCTTCATCCTCTTCGGAAGGACTCTCTTCTTCACGCGTTTTTGACGTAACAAATGAGGTGACGTTCGGTTGGCGTAGCAGCTCCTGGCAGATAAGAGACACTTTGATGGACTGTAAAATCCAATTTATACTTCTGTGTTAAATCTACAACGTAGGCTCTGCGTAGCCTCCTACCATACGCCGTTGTCAAAAATGTAACTCCACGGCGATGCAATGCGAACCGTAAGAACTGGTCGGCTGGGTAGCCTTGCAAAGCCTCCGAGCCAACAGGAAGTGCCCCGTGCTTTGAAGTAAATTTTACTAGCGGCAAAAACGGCGACTGTAACACAGTGGAATAATATATTTGAGAGTCCGGAAGTCGGCCTGCTCGGCTGGCAACAGTCAACTCAGTGGACGCTGTAGCGCTACCAGCAACTAGCGTTTGGCGTAGCTACGTACGTAGACCCGACGCTTCAGTCCGGAGCTGAAATATGCAGGAAGTTAGGAAGCGAGGTGCAGAATCCAAACGCATGGGTCTCTGAAATTTCTCCATACCCAACCCGAGACAAAATACAACATGTAAATCCGGCAGTTTTGTTCTTTTAAAAGAGCGAGGCAGTGCTGGAAAGAGTAAAAGTAGAAATACCGTAGTCTAAAAATACTCTGTGTGAAGTTAAAGCCCTGAAGTCAAAATGTTGCATAAGGAAACAAACAATTGCCCATTTAATTGTTATATATTCTGTTTTCATCACCAATGAATACACAAGAGTGTTTTTAATACTGTAGTTCATCAATGTGGAGCCACTTTCAGATACAGTATGTGTGTACTACTTAGTTTTATTACTGCATTACATTATGATCTAAAGTCACTGTCAAATACATGTAGTGCAGTAAAAAGTACAGGATTAGTACTCTGACATATTGGGTTAGAAGTATAAAATGGCATAAAATTTAAATACTGAAGTAAAGTAGAAGTATTTTCCCCACTGCAGAGTTGGCGTGTGACAGGCTAGTAGTTTTAAAGAGCGTGAGTTTTACTCCATACAGCTTCAGCGTTTTCTTGTTGTGAGTGAAAGGTTGTCTTTATGTTTTTTTTGCTGACGTCATCAAGTTCCCATTAACCATACTGGTCTTTAGTTTCAGCCCACAGTACCCTCCTCAGGTGTGGGTCACACGGACCCTCAGGTGAACTGCCAGGTGAGAGAGGGCTTCCTCTTGTGGATTTAGCCGACTAAAGTCCCGCCAGGATGAATCAGTTTATAAATCTCGTTTGTCTCAGACACGTCTGACGAATGTGTGTAGTCATGCATGTACTGACAGTAGCTGATCTACACTTGCAACTAGGGATGTCACGATGCCAGATATTCAGTAGTCGATTCTTGATTCCCAATTAGATACTAAGGTAAGAAAACTAAACACTAAATCTCATGTACTTCGACATAAAAACATTTGAACATCTAACAGCTGTGAGAGGATGTCCAGCTGTTGATATTAAAACCTTACACTGTGCATAATTCATTCATTTTCTTAACGTCTCCACCTGTACTGGCAGTGGTTTGAGATTTGTGTGTTGGGGGGGGGGGACGTCTGCCTGAATCAGCTTTCCAAGAAGTCCAGGCTTTTACACGGAGCTGTTGACCAATGCAAAATATTAAATTTCTTCCACGTGTTGGACCTTGAAAAACGAGTACCGTCATGTTTTCAGAATATTGGTACTCGTGACATCCCCGTGCAGCTGTAGTGATTAAAGATCAGAAACACATTCAGGAAACGAGAGCTCGAGAAAAGGTTTGGTAACTGTCAGTTTGTGTTTTGACTCCACCCGCCTGGCACTGAAGCAGTCTGAAAACAAACCACACAGACTCTGTGCAGACCCAGGTGTGTTGTTTGCATTGAACTCCTTCTCTTTCTTCCCTCTCTTCTCTGATTGTAAACTCACGTCGTCGCTCGTAGGACTCCCCCCTCCTAAACGAAATCCTGCACACGTTGGCTCAGGCCAAACGCCCGCCGGGCCGTGACGGACAAGTAAGTACTGGACGCCTGCTGTTGGTGGGAGGGGGTGTCGTCCACCTTCGCCGCATGTCCCATCCAGTCCTCATGTGCTTGGGACCATCAGAGGGGCCAGGGGGTTCTGGGTCCAGGGGTCAGGTTCAGGTTGACCCAGATGGCCTCAAGGTGTCGCTGATATAAAGTGGAGTCTGAGTGTGACCGAAGTGAAACCGGAGAAGAAATCCTGTGTTGTGGCCGAGAAGCAGCAGAGAGACGACTAAATGAGACCCTCTGAAGTAAAACAGAATTCAGTTTTAAAGCCGACTGTAACGTATCCTCAGTTTTAGTTCATTAATTATGACTTTTGAACAATGTGAAGCATTTTTAAAATGCCTTTGCCTCAGGATGTGCTGTATTTTTGTTGGGGCTGGAGGCCAAAACAAGATCTATCTGAATAAAAGGTAATTTAATAAATATAGACTTGGAGCTAGATATTGAGAAAGAGAAATATGATAGATGTATAGATAGAGAGATACAGTAGCTAGAGAGAGCGATACGATGGAGATAGAGAGATGGTAAAATATATTACTTAAAATTTTTTCTGTATATCTCTTGTCAAAGCCACCAGACTCCATTGATAAAAACAGTGATTCTACCTTGCAGAACACAGGAGTGTCTGGTCTACCGCTGCCTCGGTTGGTTAGTTTGTTTTTATTATTTTGGGACTTTGTTGTTTTTGTTTGTTTGTGTTAATGTGAGATTTTGGTGTTTTAAAAGAGTTTAAAAACACCAAAGTGACACAATAACACAAACCTAAACGGTAAACAGCGATAGACCGGAGAGGTAAAATGATTGTTTTTATCAGTGGAGTCTGGTGGTTTTGACGAGAGCGACGGTTTCAGGTTAAACAAAAAGGTACTTCCTTTTTAAAAAAAAGCTCTCTGTAGGGATCCTTTCCATAATGCTGTCAGACAGTTGGAATAACAATCTGAGCCTGTCAGCA